AATAAATGTCCACTATAGTTAGGAAAGTAAATTTCATTTGCATATAAAATATTAGATTTCAATTTTTTTTTTTCAAATATAAATGCTAGAAACTGATTCCGTAGTACAAAAAATATATTCCAATTTTAATTTNGTCCATAAGGTAGCACAATTTAAAAACACTATAGTTAGGAAAGTAAATTTTATTTGCATATAAAATATTAGATTTTGAATTTTTTTTTTTCAAAACAAATTCTAAAATCTGATTATATAATGTAGCACAATAAAAGTCCACTAAAGTCAGGAAAGTAAATTTCATTTGCATATAAAATATTAGATTTCAATTTTTTTTTTCAAATATAAATGCTAGAAACTGATTCCGTAGTACAAAAAATATATTCCAATTTTAATTTTTAAAATTATTCCATATAAATGTTATAGATATTTTATTGTTATCATTAAAATCTTATTGTTTTTATTTAAAGGCTATAGACACATGAGTTTGTCCCACAATCGACTCAATTATTGATAATTGGTGGTACCTTGTGTGCAAAGGTGCAATAGCAAGATGGAGAATGAAGATGGCGAGATGCATTGCACCAAGTTCACCCATGCACATGGCACTGCATGGTAGAATAAATTCTTTTTTTTTGCAATATTAAATCATTTTTAATTAATTAATATATTATTTGGTACTTTATGACATGCTTTTCGTATNTACCATATAATATAATAATTAACTAAAAATTATTTAATATTGCAAAAAAAAAAAAAATTATTTTAACCATGCAGTGCCATGTGTATGGGTGCACTTGGTGCAATGAATTTCGCTATCTTCACTCTCCATTTTGCTATTTCATCTTTTGCACACAAGGGTACCACCAATTATCAATAATTGAGTCGATTGTGGGACAAACTCATGTGTCCATAAATAAAAATATTAAAATTTAAATCATAACAATAAAATATGTATAACATTTATATGGAATGATTTTATAAACTAAAATTGGAATATATTTTTTGTATTATGGAATTAGATTTTAACATTTATATTGAAAAAAAATCGAAATCCAATATTTTATATGAAAATGAAATTTACTTTCCTAACTGTAGTGGACTTAAATTGTGCTACCTAATGGAATTAGATTTTAGCATTTATATTGAAAAATAAGAATCGTAATCTAATATTTTTTTACAAATGAAATTTACTTTCCTAACTGTAGTGAACTTTTATTTAGAATTTTAATTTTGTCAAATAACTATCAATATGAGAAGAATCGTA